CTCGCTTTAGCGCCGCGCAGATTCGTTGTAAGGACTTGCGGCAGTTTCGAGGATGTGCGTGGTTTACGTCTCAGGAATGGTGTTTTGGCACGATGCCTGACCGTGAGGGCGCAACAGCTGCGATGATTCGAGGTATTGAAGTCCCAGGAATAGTGCTGCGGCGCGATTCTGGATCATCAAGACGCAGCAGTAAGGGTGATTCGCGGGGTCGAAGTCCCAAGAATTGGTGTTCTGGCACATTTCAAGATTTCAAAAGGTGGTGCTCCAACGGGGCATCTCCTTCAGTGAAAACGAATCCTTGTAGGGGCCGATGGAGAAAACTTAGCAGGATGGCTCATTGTAAGGTCGGTGTTGAATCTTGGGTTTGTATTGGTCCTCCTTCTCCTCCTCCTCCTCCTCCTCCTGTTCCTCCTCGTCTTCCTCCTCCTTTTCCTCCGTCGCCATTTTGGCTCAAGATGCTTAGTTCCACAGGGGAACACGTGGATACCGCTAGTCCGCGGCCCGTGCCAGGGCTGCTCAGCCCGACAGTTTTGCAGAAAGGTGGTCCGCCCCACTCTCTCGAGTCTGTGAGTTTCTCGCCATGGCGCCGAAGGCTCAGCCAGGTTTCATCATCTGCACTCCGTGCCGCTTCAGGTGGAATTTCCGCAAGAAGCATCATTGCTGGACTTGTGGCCAATCCCTCGAGCTTAAGCCAGCCAACCCGTCACCGCGCAATGGAGTCTGGGCGGTCAATGGAGCTGGAGGGGCGTCGCCGAAGGCCAGCCCCAAGGCCAAGGCCGCAGCGGCGAGCGGGAGCCCCAAGGCCAATGCCGCAGCGGCGGGCGGGGCGGCCGATGGTCGCCGCGGGTTTCCTGGTGCCCCCTGGTCGTCGGCTGGGTCTTCGGAGCTCGACAAGCTGCTGGCCATCCCCGACCCGATCACCGCAAGCTTCGGGAGGCAGTGGCGGAGGCCCGCGATTTCGTCCCGCCGCCGCCGGCAGCAGCCCAGCGGACTCTGGAGCAGCAGCTGCAGTCGGCCACGAGTCGCCGCATCAACCTCCACCGCCAGCTCGACGAGGCAGCCGGCGCCCTGTTGGCGAGGAACAGCTGGACGAATGCCGTGGCTGGCGCGACACCTGCGCCGCCAGTTTGGCGGAGGCCCAGGGGGAGGAGGCCAAGCTCCTGCGCAGCCGCGCCCAGGCCTCTGGAATCGCGCCACCGACTCCTGGCGGCTCGAAGTCGGTCACCTTCACCTTCGACGTGGAGTCGCTCGAGAACTTCAGCGAGCTCGAGGAGGGGGCCCAAGCTGACCTCCGACAGATGTGCGAGGAGTGCCACAGGGTCACGCTGGAGGCCCAGGCGGTGTTCGAGCGCAGCTGTCAGGAGCAGCTACAGCAGCTCAAGCAGGACATCGAGAAACCGCGGCCAACAAGCGCCACAGGCAGGAACGCCCTCAGCCAGACGGGCCTGCTGGGGCACCCGCTCAGGAGCCAGCGGCAGCAGCTGCGGCTGAGCAGCAGGCGACCCCCCCTGCTGCGGCAGCGGCTGCCGCGGCTCCCGCCACCGCGGCAGAGGCCACCAGCGGCTCCCGCGAGCACGCCGCGAAGGCAGCCGAGCGTGGGGCAGAGGCAGCCGAGGCAGCCCGCCTGCGGGCCACCGAGCAGAAGGTGGCCAGCGGGCTTGCTGCGCCTGCTGCTGCTGATGGGGCTGCAGGTCAGTTCGCAGGGTAGCGGCCCCCCCGCCAGAAGGGGAGAGGGCGGCCCGCCTGGTCCGCTGCTTGAGCACGTGGCGATGGAGCCGAGGCCGCTCGGTAGGCAGCCTCCCCCCACGTGGCCCCTGCCTGCGCGGCCCCCGACGGGGGGGTGGTCGAAGCCCGCCAGGTACGGAGGCAGCGCTGACCAGGAGGCGCGCGGCCCAGCTGAGACAGACCCCACGGCTGCGGAAGTGCGGAGTCTGGTCCAGCGCACAGAGCGCGCACCCGCTATGGTAGGCGCGGTGGCCATCGGCCTCGAGCAGCGCCTGCCCCATCTGGAGCCCCTGGCGCTGCAGCGGGGCTCGCCGGGGGGCGACCTCCGCATCTGCACCTACAACGGAACAGCGGAAATACTTAGAACTCGATCGCCGGTGTCTTCGAGTGGATGCGCAGAAAAGGGATCGCGCCGCACGTGGCGCTGGTCCAGGAGACTCGCTTTTCCTCCCAGACAGCCGAGGAGCAGGCCCACGGATGGGCCAACCGATGCGGCCTCCAGCTGACATGCTCGGCAGCGCTCAGGACAGGAGAGGCGGCCGTGGCTGTCTCGTCTGGCGTCGGCATCGCCACCTCGAAGTTGCTGGGCTCGGCGCGGTTCGTCCAGCCTTGGGCAGGCCAGCAGCGCAGGTTCCTCTCCCGCAGGATCTCGCTGGGCAAGGGCGCCACCATAGCCATGATGTGGGTCTACCTTGAGGACTCCGTGGGCCTGCAAGGGGCCAATTCGCCAGCTGCTCGCCGACCTCCACGAGCGGTGCGCGCTCCTGGACGACCCCTTCGCGATAGGCGGCGACTGGAAAACGAGGCCTCGGAGCTGGTGGACTCAGGTTGGCCAGCCCTCATCGGAGGGGCGGTTCTGGCCCCGGGATCAGCTGCGTGCAATAACAACGAGTACGACTACTTCGCCATCTCGACGGCGTTAGAGGCCATGGCGGGCTCCATCACGGCTCGCGCGGACACGCCGAACGGCCCTCATCGGGCGGCCCCCCATGTGCTTCGAGGATGCTGGGAACGACCCATGACGCAGACCCGGCGGGCGCCCGAGGCCTTTGATTTGAAGAGCGTGACCGACGACGCGGCCAATGGCAGGCGCGACCAGTCGGTCGAGTCGTTGGCTCGGCCCTCTGTCGACGCGGGGCCCGAGAGCCCCATCGAGGAGTGGTTCGCGCAAGCGGAGCTGGCCTTGCAGGCGCTACAAGGCATGTCGGGCGATGAGGCCCGCTTTCTCAAGGGCAGGGCCAAGGGCGTCAGGGCGGCCACCGTCCCGCTCGAGGCCAAGATGCACGCAGGCCGACTCGACAATGCCTCCCTCCGCCACCTCGCCAGGCGCAGATGGGATCTGGGCCCAGGCGGCTCGCCAGGTGGCTACAAGACCGGGCGGGGGCAGCAGCTGCGCGAGGCGGCGCTCCACCTTCGGCGAGTTTCAGGACCTGGGACGACGACGACGAGGAAAGATAGAGGACTGCGACGACGACGACGACGACGAGGGAGGAGGGTGCACGGCGACGACGACGACGACTACGCAAGCGCGCGCGCACGCTTTTGTTTGAAATTTGCGTTGCGAAACCTTATGTTCTTGCATGTGTTTTGGGCGCGCGCTTTTGAAATCCTTCCGAGAAGGTTTCGCAAGGATTTCGGCATGCGCGCGCGACGGCGCGAGCGCAAGGGCGCTCGGAAGATTTCGACATGCGCGCGCACGAAGCCTGGTTGGTAGCATGTTTTGAAACTGTTGAAGAACCGTTGGTTCTCGCAAGATTTCGCAAAAGCGCGCGCGTGAGATTTTTCATAACATCAGCGAATCCCATAGTTGTTGCGTGTTTTTGTGGTGCAAACTCGAATCTGAAATCTTTCCGAAACCGAAGGTTCTGACGGATTTCGGCATGCGCGCGCGACGACGCTCGCGCGTGCACTTCGTCCCATTTTTCCACAAGGGAGATTTGCAAACTCATGATTTTTGATAAACGCGCGCGCGTAAGGTTTTTTGCTTGGGATGGCGTGGGGGGTGGGGGCGACGCCGGTTTGGCTGGGGTAGTATGAATTCATATCTAGGATGGACGATGGGGCAGAACCACATGTAAATTTCAATGCGAAAGCGTGGCCCGTTAACTCCGGGGGAGGGGGGGGGTCTATTTTTTTAGACAGGAGAATCAATCGATTCTGCTGAACTTGAAGTCGCCATCTCCACTGCTCGCGCAAACATCCCACCCCCCACCCGCAACTTGTTTGGCCAAGCGCATGACGTGGGGGGCGGCGGCGCCAACGACGACGACGACATCGATGATGACGTCCTCACTGCCGGGGCTTGCCTCCGTGAGTCGATGATGAAGGTGGGCATATCGACGATGCTCGGACGTGCGCGATGACAAGATGACGTCGGCAACGTCTGCGACAATGACGAGTATGGCACCAGCGACGACGATGTTCAAGAGGGCGACGGCGCGAACGATAACGGCGCCGATGATGGCAAACACGCTGACGATGCTGATGTCCATCTGCCGATGACGCATGTGATCGCGGCGATGCAGACGGGGTTGAAACGGAATCTGCGCGCGCGGACGTTCAACAAATCCGTCAGACTGATCATGCGCGCGCGGCGGTGCGCGCATGTGGCCCGCGTGTGTGTGTGTGTGTGTGTGTGTGTGCGC